TCAGCTGACCGTAAAACAAGACACCTAGTACCACAATGGCAAGACACAGATGTTCTAGAATCTGTAAGTAAGGCATTGGGGTCCACTTCAGGAGTTCACGGATGCCTTTCCAGTGAAAACTACATCAGTGTGTCCTACGTGAAACCAGTTTTTCATCTGTTGAACTCAAAGATACTTGCAGTGGAGGATGAAGATACTGACCTGACAAAGACTATAAAATCAAAAATTCTAAACTACATTAACAAACATTATGAGGATGAAACTACCCAAGAGCTTTGGATTTTTGGATCCAAGATTCAAAACCAGCTACACTGATGAGGCCAGGGTCATGTCTGATATAGAAATGAGTTCACACAAGGTGAGTTAATTTATGTAAACTGGATGAAACCTTTATATGGCTTTTTAATCTTCTCTTTCTGTTATGTATGTCAAAGGATACATCTGAATCTGTGACTGGTTTTTCTTGCAAAAAACCTTTAAGAGAGCAATCTATTTTTTGGTTTTGAATTCTGTTCGTTTTTTATTGATTGTTGACTGGAGTTTAGGTTAGTTAATCTTAATTTATTTTATGTTGTCTGTTTTTAAGACACAATTGATTACAGTTTTGTTTATCAAGCAGTTAATACTACTGTACAGTATGTTATTTAATTGTGAAATGTCTGCACTGAAAAAACATTTTGAAGTTTATTTATGGTTATGACTGGAATTTAGGTTAGTTAACCTTAATATATTTTATGTTGTCTGTTTTAAAGACAGTTTATTACAGTTTTGTTTATCAAGCTGTTAATACTATGTTATTTCATTGTGAAATGTTTTGTTATGCACTTCTTGTGCACTCAATACATTTAGAATGTAGCATATTTGAAAAAGCAAAAACAATTGCCAAAATCGCTAATAAAAATCGCAATTGCAATATTCATTTTTTTTTTAAATCGCAATATGATTATTTTGTCCATATTTCACAGCCCTAGTATATAGTTCTATTTATTCATGCCTTTATTATTAATGTTAACTAAATTAAATCTGTGAAAAAGGATATTTTAAATTACTTCAGACTTCCAATAAGTACGTTTCTCAGTGAATTATCGTTGACAGCAGTAGTACTCGACTAGCTAAACAATCAGGCTTGTCTATGCCTACATGAAACCGTGCAAAGGCCACAGGTAAAAACACAATAAGAATGTATATACTACAGGCCTGTGACGTTCAAGTAGGGCTGGACAATAATTCAATATCAATATGTATCGCGATATAATTTTTTTCAATAACGGTGATATGATTTTTAAACACATTTCCGATATTTCGATATACATTACCAGTTTCCCATACATTGATTTATTTGTGCCGTTTGACTTCGTTGAATAAACATGAGCACTGCACGTTTCAAAATCAAAACACGTCGTGGGTGTTTTATATGAATGTATCTCTGAAGAGAACTGACTGTCTTCAGAAAAGTTTCGATGGCATTTTCATTTGATCTGATAAAGAAGCGTTCATGAGCGGAGCTGCTTTGATTACAGCCATTACTGGAGAAACCGCTAGTTCTATCACTCTAAAAGCGCCTCCTGCTAGCAGAGCATGAGTTTTCATTTTAAATAAGCCCGTCTCCAGCAACATTTCCAGTTTTTGTTGTTCAATTTTTTTGTTTTCTGCAGCGACTCGGAGCACTTTTCATACCCTTTTTTTTTTGGCTGAAGCACATTTGTTTCAATCTATAAGAATAATCAGCCTACACTACCAGTCAAAAGTTTTTGAACAGTAAGATTTTTAATGTTGGTTTTTTTAAAGAATTCTCTTCTGCTCACCAAGGCTGCATTTATTTGATCCAAAGTACAGCAAAAACAGTAAAATGTTGAAATATTTTTACTATTTAAAATTGCTTTCTATTTGAATAGATTTTAAAATGTAATTTATTCCTGTGATCATACATAGGTAAATTTTCAGCATCATTACTCCAGTCTTCAGTGTCACATGATCCTTCAGAAATCATTCTAATATGCTGATTTGCTGATTATCAATATTTAAAACAGTTGAGTACATTTTTTTTTCAGGATTCTTTGATGAATAGAAAGATCCAAAGATCAGCATTTATCTGAAATAAAAAGCTTTTGTAACATTATACACTATTCCATTCAGTATAATTTTTATTATTTTTTTGGGAAAGAAATTATAGAAATTAATACTTTTATTTAGCAAGGATGCTTAAAATTGATCAAAAGTGATGATAAAGGCATTTATAATGTTACAAAAGATTTCTATTTCAGATAAATAGTGTTCATATCGATATCGGAATTATATCGTATCGACCGAAATTAAGAAATATATCGTGATATCAATTTGGGCCATATCGTCCAGCCCTATGTTTACATAATATATGTGTGTGTACTGT